CCACTAAACTCAGCATCTCAAAGGACCACCATTGCCTGTACCAAGCCCTGGACACAGTACCTGGAGCATAATGTAATGACTACATATTTGTTGGGCAAATGAAGTACAAGGATAGCAAGAGTCAGAACTCACTCATTTATCCATGCTTAACGCCTCCTGAGTGTCTATCATGTACTGGATATCATACTTGAACTCAGGAGATAAGAATAAAGATGCTAGTTGAGCCCTTGTCATCCACTGGACCCTGCCCTCCCCACCCCTCCCCCCCATCCATATGTTAAAGCCCTAACTCCCAGTGTGACTATATTTGGAGAGAGGGCCTATAGGGAGGTAATTAAGGTTCAATGAGATCATAAGAATGGGGCTGTGATCCAATAGGACTCGCGTCCTTACAAGAAGAGGAAGAGACACCAGAGGTGCCCCCTCGGCCCCTGCTGGCAAGCACAGAAGAGAGGCCGTGTGAGGACACAGCAAGAAGGTGGCGGTCTAAAAGCCAAGAAGAGAGCCTTCACCAGAAACCGAATTTGCTGGCACCTTGATCATGGATGTCTAGCCTCCAGACCTGTGAAAAAAATAACTGTGTATTGTTTAAGCTGCCCAGTCTGTGGTAATTCATTATGGTAGCCTGAGCAGACTAACACAGCGCTCCAGGAGCTCATAGTCTAGAAGCCAAGGCAGATGAGGGGGAAGTGCTAACGTGAGAGATTAGTCCTCTGAGATGGGACAGACCGGAGCTGTGGAAGCTCAGAAGTCAGTCACCCAGTTGAGACTGAGAGGCAGGGGTGGAGACGGAAGGTTTCTCTGAGGTGACATGTCTGGTGAGCATGGGAGCAGGAAAAGAAATGAACAGGAGAAAGAGGAAAGGGAAGAGGGTCATGAGCATGGGGAGCAGCTTACGCACAGGCCTCAGAAAACGCTAAGACTGAGTGGCAGGTAATAACTGGACAAGAACCAGGAACACAAAGAAGAGTCAACAGTTGAGGCAAACCATCTGAAGAATGACGGGACAAGATGAAGCGAGAACACTACTCACTCACTTAGGAGAAACTCAAATTCCAAGACACTCAGGGCAATCAGAGACCCAGTTTGTAACTGAGTGGCTTGTGCTTTGTCAGGACAGGGATTTGACAGCAAACAGCTCTTGCCTCATCACCACCTTTCCCCTGGCCTTCCCCCTTCATCATGTGAACCCGCTGGGTCTCTTCTGGCCTGAAAGCTCTTGCCCATCAACCTTTCCAGTCGCAGCCTTTCCGGGCAAAGCCAAGTTTTTTGTACGAGTTACCTCTACCTGCCCCAACTTCTTCCCGCTCTCCAGCCCACCACCCCACTCTTCTTTTCTCTGAGATCATCAGGTGGCTCTTGGCTGCTGTATATCCGTGTGATCTGACCCTATTGTTCAATCCCTCCTTCTGGAAACCCTTACCACTTTGTACAATGCCTCTCCGGTGGGTAAGCCTTTTGAGGGCGAAACCTGTATCTTATTTAGTCATCCATGAAGCATTCATGGCCCAGTGTCATGCCGGCCCTATAACAAGCATCTGACCACTCTTGAATAAATGGCTCTTTTGGCCTCTCTGACACCCTTCTATTCCAGTCATGCACCCATTTCTCTGGTCCCTCATTTCCGGTGTCCTTCACCAAGGCTCCTTCCTCTGTCTTTTCCTTAAATGTTCCTGTCCTTGATCCCCAAGGTTCTGTCCTTGATCCTTTTCTTATTTCATGCGACATGGTGTCTTTGGGTCACCTGGTCTTTGGGTCACCTCCTGTGAGGACTCCCATCAAATCTACATCTCCAAGCCTGATTTCCCTCCTGAGCTGCAGACCTGGAGGCCTGTGACTGGACAGCTACCTCTTAGCATCTTGTGAAAGCACATCCACGTCCACATGCTCGTACGAAACGCCTCTTTCCGCCAAATCTGCTCCTTCTCCTGTACTCTTTCCCTGGTCCCACCCTCTACCCAGTCACACAATCCAAATACCTACTAGTCTTCCACGCAAGCTAATTCTGACAATTCTAGCCCCTTAAAGCTCTCAGGTCCATCCCTCCCAGTCCTGTTCCTTCCACGAATATCCTACTTTAGGCTTTCAGCATCTCTCACCTGGGTTAAGGCTTAGACTCTGGATTGCTTTCTCTGTCTCCCCTCTAGCACCCTTCCCAGACTCCCACCACACTGCTACCAGTGTGATCTCGCCAAAACTGGAAGTCCACTGAAGCTATTCAGACCCTCTTTACCTTCAGAATAAACTTGAATTCTGTAGTATAGCAAAACAAGTATAATAATAGTACTTCTGGCTTCTGGTAGATCAGTTTGCCCTCCCAGCGCAAGAGCTGGCATTTGTCCCAGGGCCTGTGGTTTAGACAGGTTATGCCTCCATTCCTCCAAGGAGGAGGGAGAGACAATAACAACTGATTCTTCTTAGAAACACTGTTCAATGCCCTGGCATTCTGATATTTATCAAACATGATTTGTGAAAGGAATTCCACCTGGATGTGCCTCCCATGGAGATCTTGGGGAAAAGCACTTAAATAATTTACCAGGGTGCAGGCTACAGTGAGGCAAGTGAGGAAAAACCCTAAGGAAGCAGTCTCTGGATCGTGCAAGTGCCTCCTTAAATTTTGCACCATGGACACTTCACTTGCTTCACCCTGTTGTGTGAGTATGTTCACCTTGCTTCCCATTTCATTAGGATAAATTATGAAAAGAAGCCTGGATACAAATGACTAGCAGCTTATGAGTTTAGAATCTGGATGAAATTATGTGAGCCCTTTAAAAATCTAGGCTACATATGGGTCCCTGGATGGCTCAGTCAGTTAAGCATCTGACTTCAGCTCAGGTCATGATCTCACAGTTCGTGAGTTTGAGTCCCACCTTGGACTTCATGCTGACAGCTCAGAGCCTGGAGCCTGCTTGGGATTTTGTGTCTTCCTCTCTCTCTGCCCCTTCCCTGCTCACACTCTGTCTCTCAAAAATAAATAAATATTATAAAAAATGATAAAAATGTAGGCTACATAAAAATAAAATTTAACCTGGTTGGTGGATACAGAAATTGGGTCCACCGTTCTGGAAAGCAGTTCGACTAAATATATTTGAAGCTTTAAAGTTCTTGTGCCATTTGACCCAGTACACTTCCTCTGTTCTAATTAAAAAATCACATATGTAGGGACACCTGGCTGGCTAAGTAGGTAGAGCATGTGACTCTTCATCTCAGGGTCTTGAGTTCAAGCCCCATGTTGGGCATAGAGCTCACTTAAAAATAAACATGTATTTAAACAGCTATTCTTATGTACAAAGATATTCATGGATAATATTTATAATACTTAAATTGTGGTACATTATACATTATGATACATTATAATGCAGTCACTCAAATGATAATCATATAGACTTTAAGTAAGCATGCAGACAAAACCATATTAAATATAATAAGTTTACAAAACTGGATGTATAGAATAATCCCTAACTAGTTAATACTCAGGACATGCTTAGGAGGAAAAAAAAAGACTGAAAACAAAGCACAAAAATGTTAACAATGTCAACACCCTTAAGCTTCTGAGTTTGGGGATTATGGGTGATTTTTGTGTGTTTCTAAAACATTTTTCCCCATTTAAAAAAGTTTAAATAATGGTCATGTATAACTTTCATAATAAAAAACATGAAAATTCTTTTAAGTAATTTTTTTTTTTTTTTTTACAGAAAATCTGTTTCCTCTCTGGGACTTCTCTTCATCATTGGTGTTTATCAGTTGGTCGCCACTCCAACTCTAGTTTAGGAGAGGCTGAGAAGTTTTTGACGAGACTCAATAGGGTTGGTTGCTCTTGTTGCTTTTAATCCTCACGAGCACATTTGGCTCAGATAATCGCTGTGGCTGTACCGTTCCACAGATTCCACTGTGGATAAGCCAGGGCATATGGCTTGCACAAGGCAGTCCTCTCAGCAGTCCGGGACTTACCGTGATCCCTGAATATTTCAGCTCTTAGCTTTGTGATGTTGCTAAAACATCCTGCAAGGAGGGCTGTGAGCTGTAGCTGGTGGTCAGAAGCCCATGGTGGGGTGTGGCTGGGGTGGGGAGGAGCCTTTCAAGACCCAGGAGGGGGACACAGAGGAGCTAGACACCCAGCTCTCTCATTAGCCCTGAATTCTAGAAAGCTGGATTTCCTTCCACATAAACTGATATTTCTGACCTCTATTCGTATTTACATCCAGAGATAAAGAGACCTGGAGCTTAATTTGGACCTGACGCTGATAAAGAAACTGAGTCAAGATGCCCTTACTTCCTCTTTCCTCATCAGTACAGAGAGCTGGATTAGGTTTTCTCCAAATGGGCTATTTTATTGATAAATGTTGGGCAAGCAGGTGTGCAAGTATGCACTTAATCACCAGCACTGTCAACCGAGCTGCCTGGGAGGCCCAGTGCCAGAGGACGTCTGTCTCTGCCTAAGCTACCACTCGGGCACTGGTTCGGCCAGGGTGGCATGTACCATTGGCATCGAGCAAGCGTCTGGTCTGCAGGCATTCCATCCTTGCACCCTTTCCATTTCCTGGTAGAGGACAATCTAATGATCCATCTAGCCAGACAGCTTGAAGAAAGCTGCCTTGTTTTCTTTCAAAAGATGTTAATAAGGACTCACACATCTAACAGAAATAATTAGAACAAGAGAATCATTTTCACTAATTAGAGGTCCCATTGAATTTGCAGAGGTAGGATGCAGACATCAAATAATTGCCCTTAATTTAAAAAAAAAAGTGCACGCGTATATTCTTTTTTCCCAGAGTCTACCGTTCACCCAGGACAATTCATAAGAGATTTAAGAATATGCAAAGATAGCACTATATCTCATTTAGCATCATTAAAAAACAACAACATAATTTTAACTTCCTAAAAGAGAGGAAGCAGGAGAACAAAGGGAAAGGTGGGGAAAGGCATCCACATAAAACACAGTATGATGGAAATGATTCTGGAGCAATAACCATTGGCTCTATCCCTAAAAGTCCACTCACCTGCCCTTCTTAGACATGTCGTGTACTTCTTTTCCTCGCCAGTGCACTCTGCTTTCAATGGCCAAAACCCATCCCCACCACAACAGGAAGACTCCAACTTTCATATTCTGGACAGCCAACATGGGTTTCCAAATCCAAACAGTTCTCTCAAGAAACAGCAAAAAAAAAAAAAAAAAAGGAAAAGGATGTTCTTTTTCTCTCTTAAGACATTATTGGTCTGTTCATTATTACAAGGATGTTTACTCATGCAAAAAAAAAAAAAATCAACCCACAGTATGTAATCTGGAGAGCAGGAGAAAGCAATTTCCACTAAACCTATAAATCCTCCTACGTCAGATGTCAGGGATTTTCTGAACTGAGATTGAAGCCCTGTGTTCTTGTTGAACAATTAGTTCGGCTGGTTTAAATTAGTTAATCATCAGATGCGGTGAGTATGTTAGTAAAGGTCTGTATTTTCTGGTCCAGTGAATAGAAGGAAAACAGACCAAAGCAATTTCCAAAATGAGAAGTGCCAGAGGTTCCCGAACCGAACCGTTTCCTATGCCAACTAAATGAGCTCCTCCCTGGATCTATTTTAAGCTTCCAGCCATTATTATTTGATTTAGCTGAGGGCTGGATTTGTACAGCGCCCCACCCCCACTCCTTACTATGCTGAATCCACAGAACCTCAGGGCTTCCTACCTAGGCAGTTTGTCCATGGGGCTAAGGTTGAGAGGGCTAGTGGGGAAGAGGCTTTTTTGTCTGTGTTTTGCACAAAAAGAACTAAATTTTCTTGTCAGCTATGTTACTTGTATTATGAATGTCAGACTTTTCACATTAAAAAAAAATACCAGAAATAAATTAACAGTAGCCACCAAGTCTGTGTTATCTACTGTTAAGAACAATGGGCCCAAAATGGAGTCACTTATGCTAAGCTCCATGTCACCAAATCGAGATTTAGTTTAAGCTCTCCCAGAAATGAAATCTTTTTTTTTAACTTTTGCTTATTTTGAGAGAAAGAGAGCGAGAGAGAGAGTCAGCATGAGCAGGGGAGGGGCAGAGAGAGGAAGAGAATCCCAGGCAGGTTCCACATTGTCAATGCAGAGCCCAGTATGGGGCTCGGACTCATGAACTGTGAGCTCATAACCTGAGCTGAAGTCAAGAGTCTGATGCTTAACCGACTGAGCCACCTGGGAGCCCCCAGAAATGGAATCTTAAACCAGTCAATCAGGAGCCACCTAATTAGCATTAGTTAGGTAATCTACCTGACAGACCCCTAAAAGAAAGCAACCTTGCAATAACCAGTCCACTTTTATGTCAAGTATAACTTCCTTGTCCCCCCCTCCAACACTGTGCTTCTGCTTCTACAAATCTCTCATTTTATAGAATTCCTCAGAGCTCCCTCCTAGCTACTAGATTAGATGTTGCCTGATTCATGAATCATTGAACAAAGGCAATAAGATTTTCAAAATATACTCAGTTGAATTTTTAAAATTGTTTATTTATTTATTTTGAGAGAGAGAGAGCAGGGAAGGGGCAGAGAGAAGGAGAATCCCAAGCACTGAAAGTGAAGAGCCCATTGCTAGGCTCAAACTCTTGAACTATGAGATTCTTGACCTGAGGCAAAATCAAGAGTCGGACACTTAACCGACTGAGTCACCCAGGTACCTCCTCAGTTGAATTGTTTGAACATCATAGTTTTTCTTTTTCTTTGATACTTGTTCAAAGACCGCTATAATCAACAGGCCAGAGTCTGTGTCTTCAACATAGAAGGGCAGTCTCAGACCTTGTGGAAGAAGATAGCCCAAGGTCCTTCAAACTACTGACTCTTCAAATCTTGGCTGACATGGCTTGGATAATTTTCAGAGCATATTGGCAGAAGTTAGTCAGGATTTCCAGGGCTCTTTATAGTTGAAAAGCAGACAGTTTCATGAAACTGCTAACCCAACATCCATCAGAATGAGAATTAATTACATAAGACTGAACCAATGGGTGCAGGAAATTTTATTGAGGTTATTTGGAATATTGTTGATTTGTTTTATTGCCTTGTTTACTGGATGTGTAAAGAAACCTTTTTCTTTGTATGCTCTCTGTAATTCACAATAATTTTGTAAATTCTGCTGTTGTAAACTAAAATGAAACATTTAAAAATGATATGATTCCCACTGACACAGTCAATTACCCTCCTCAGAATACAGAAACTTACCTAGTCTCTTTACTTTTCAATATAGTTATTTACATATATTCAATAAAAATCTGTCCTCCTTTTTGCCAGGATATAACTAGAAGACTCCATTATGCAATCAAGATCTTGCCTGGAATATTATAGTTGAGAATGATGCTCAGTTGACTAGATGTGACAAGCTATTTTAAATAACAAAGTTTGGGGGCACCTGGATGGCTCAGTTGGTAGAACATGCAACTCTTGATCTTGGGGCTGTGAGTTAGAGCCCCATGTTGGGTCTAGAGATAACTTAAAAATAAAATCTTTAAAAATTAAATCAATTTTAAAAATAAAGAACAAAATTTGGCTGTAATTATGGAGTCAGTGCCTACAAAGTCCTCTTAGGAAAACTGATCTGGACCAGTTTATAGGGACCACCCTGTCAGGTAGTAGGGAAGGTCCTTCAAACGCAAGCCATTGGGGTATTTTTCAAAACCTCAGGAAGAGAGGAACTTGCCCAAAGTTACTGCAGCTAAAGTCTGGTGGAGTATCTTGGAACAGCAAATAAGACATGCTTTTCAAAGGCCAGTCTGAGATTTCTTATCATAACTTCTAGAAAGAAGTTAACTTGGAATCATTCGATACTGTAAAACCCTAGCTTTTGCAAAGCAAGCTGAAGGAGGGCTGTCTGATTGATCAACATTCTTGATGCACCTACTTAAGTAATCAGCCAAACCTAATGAGACCAGCATTTTTTGGTGACCAAGAATAATCTTTGAAATTATGTATAATCACAGGGAGGAGTAAGCCTGTTAGTAAAAACTGTCAGATATTGAAATGGCCAAAACAGATTATGGGGTGTCCTTACGGTGGAATGCTAAGCTTTGTCCAGTGGGCCCTTCTCATTCTAGAGGGATGTGGCCTTTGATTGCCTTTGACCAGGCTATTTTACGACTCTGTAATGGTAGACATTAACATGTAGAAAACTGACAGTAATATATTTTTTCTGCCCATAGCTATGTAAACTATTCCTTTTCTCCAGTAAAGAATACAAATCTCTGTAAATCAGATCCTTAAATGTACTAGTTGTAACATCTTATTGGTCCTCTCACCAATTAATGAGTTAAATAAAAACTTTGACATGTGTCATAGTTATATGAGTTGTAATTAGATCTTCTTATATAAATTATCCTTTAACAGCACTCAAAAATAGATGTTGAGGGGCGCCTGGGTGGCTTAGTCGGTTAAGCGTCCGACTTTCACTTAGGTCATGATCTCGCGGTTCGTGGGTTCGAGCCCCGCATCGGGCTCTGTGCTGACTGCCAGCTCGGAGCCTGGAGCCTACTTCAGAGTCTGTATCTCCCTCTTTCTCTGACCCTCCCCTGCTCACGCTCTCTCTCTCTCTCTCTCTCTCTCTCCTAGAAATAAAAAAAAAAAAGATGTTGAAAATAGTTCAGCATAGAGGAGGGCACTTGTTGGGATGAGCACTGGGTGTAATATGGAAACCAAACTGACAATAAATTATATTAAAAAAAGAAAGAAAATAATTCCACATATAGAAATAAAGGCAGAATATATGATGTTTCCAGAAGTCAATGAAAGCCAAGCATGATTAGATAGTTGGTAGGGACTTGGTGACCTGAAGAACCAAAGTGGCAAAGGGGAAAGATTCTGGGGATGAGTACATAAAAATCTCTAGGACAAGAAGTCATGGAGGGGACCATGGGACCATTAAATGGCTCTTTGATACTCATTTTGGAAAATGCATTTCTTTCTTGTTTGGAGGACCCTGAACATAACCGAAGAGAGCAAATCCAGATGGCTTCAAATACGCATTTCCTATCTTGTCTCAGTAGCTTAGCAGAAAGCCAGCTCAGCAAGTCTGAGTTAGCTCAATGGAAGGACAGGCTGATGCTAGGTGCCCAGCCTTCCCAATATGGCCACTTCCCCCACCAGAAAGCTCCAATGGCATAGCCCTAAGGGGAGGGAAACTGTCTCAGAGCACTTTTTTCATTTGGCCCTAGCCAACCATATCTAGCCCCAGTACCCTTCTTGAGGGGATCATGATGAGTGAAAAAGTCATGTGCACTTTGCTACTGCTCTACTTTTAAATGCCCTTTATTTTTTAAGTAGGCTTCACACCCAGTGTGGAGCCCATGGTGGGGCCTGAACTCCTAGCCATGAGATTAAGACCTAAGCTGAGATCAAGAATGGGATGCTTATCTGACTGAGCCACCTAGGTGCCACCCTACTTAAAAGTGTTCTTAATAAATGTTTTTCCCCCATCAGTATCATGTGACTCTATTGCAGAGAATATCCATGTCATTTTTGCAAGACAAGGACATAATAGGGATTTATAAAGAGTACACGTGGCCTAAGAGAACCAGCTGGAGCTAATATCCATATTCAGGAAGGCAAAGGGGTTAGAAATCATGACCCAAGGCTTATCAAGGACCCACACTGACCTACTCAAGTATAGTATTTCCAGAACAATTTTAAAACCACTATTTTTGGCCAAATCTTCCTTTTCCTTTATTCAGCACACCAATGTCCTCTCTTTCCAATTTCTTTTTTTATTCCTCAGTCATCCTGGCGTTCTCTACATCAATGCAAGAACTCCAGGGTCATAATTCCTTCAGTGGAGAAAGGAAAAGGCAGCAGTTGAGGCTAGTTGGCTTTTTCATTGCTTCTTCTAGACTCTTCATGTGTCTCCTTAACTCTGGCCCTCAGAACCAGCCCAACACTCCATGCCCAAGGCATTCACTGACCAAGAGAGTCAACTTCAGACATCACACTCCTGGTTGCTCCAAGACAATGGCCTGGGCCTTTATGAACTGTTTCTAAGTTACTCACTCCAGAACATTCTCTAGGTACATGACATCAATTTTGCTCTGGCTCTGAGCTTAGTATCTAAATGTGGTTTCTCAGCTTTGTACTGAAGTTTGCTAGGTAGGAAATCAGAGATAAGAAATGCCCTAG